ATGATCCACACAGTCAAACGCCTTTGCATAATCAATGAAACGCAGATAGACGTGTACCGTCAAATCAGATCTGACTGGTACAGGAGGAGATTGCCCCCTCCTTCTCCAGCAGAGCATCTGGTGGATTTGAACCACGTACCTCTGGGATTGCAGTGCAGTGTCTTGCCATTAGGCCACCAGAGCTCTCTTTAATGGTAGCATTAAGATCTAGAAATTACAGTTTAGGACAAGATCCCGACGCAACCAGGGCTTTTGAAAATTAATATCTTCCAAATGAAAGGGTTTTTTTGTTTTTGTTTTTGTTTTTTTTACTTTTTAAAGAGAAAAGCGAACTGGGGTAGGGTTGGGCAGGAAGGAAAGTGTGCAACAATGAATGAACGGAAATGCACATCTCTGTAAACTAACATTAAAATTAATAAAAAAACTAAAATTTGTGCCTATAAAAAAATTTGACATCTTTCAAGGCATTTACACCTTTTGGGAGTAACAACAACAGTGAAGAGCTCAGTATTTATTGTCTGCTTCCCTGACAGCCACTTTTCTGAGTGCCTGATAGAGTTATCTTGGTTTTTACTCACAGCCACACAGTGAAGGGAACATAGTTTTGATCCTCATTACACTGTGGGTGGGGGAGTGGGAGGAAGGCCGGACAGCTGAGTCCTCTGGTCAAACGTTCACAGCTGGTGTGTGCTGAGAACAAAGATGAGAGTCTATAGATTTTATTCCAGAGCCTCTACCTTATAAATTTTGCCTAATACCACTCCTAACACCACATGAAGCGTTTTAGAATTCCTCTGCAATGAAATCTCACCTTTCAGCTCTTTCTGACGTCACTCTGGAGACTAAGGTGCGTCTGATACAGGCTATGGTCTTTGCAATCACTTGTTATGCATAGGAGAGTTGGACAATGGCCAAGGAGGATAGAAGGAGAATTGATGCCTTTGAGCTGTGGTGCTGGAGTATTGAATAAAGCATGGACTGCCAAGAAAACAGATTCATCCTGGAGAGGGTTAAACCAGGCTGCTCCTTGGAGGCAAGGATTCTGGGGCTTCGTCTGACATAACTTTGGACATGTTGTAAGGAGAGACAGGTCCTTGGAGAGGGACATCATGCTTGGGAGGGTGGAGGGACAGCGTAGGAGTGAAAGACCCTCTATGAGGTGGATTGATTCAGTGACTGGGGTAATTGGGATGGGTGTGTCAGAGGCAGTGTGATTGGCACAAGATAGAGTAGTGTTTAGGGCTGTTGTACATAGGGTTGCTATGAATCACAAGTGACTTGACAGTACATAACAACAACAACAATAATATCAAACAACTTTGTGGCACCAGATTTCTGTTTTAGAGAGCTCATGGCTCACTCATTGCTATCCAGTCAGAACCCACCTTCAAGTTGGTTTCCAAGACTGTAAAAGTGCATGGGAGGAAATTTCGCATCTTTCTCCCATGCCACCACTGGTGGATATGAACTGCCGGAAAGGCACTGCCTTTGGGTTAGCAGCACCACTCCTTACAGACTCCACCACCAGTGCTCTATTTTAGAGAGCTAGTTCAGACTCATTTAATTTCTGCACAGAGGTTCTGTGAATTATAAAGACCACTACCTTCAAGTTGATCATGCTTAACAATGCTTGTAGAGACCAGAATAGAATGTCCTTTACCAAAGTTGTAAATCTTTATAAACACAGACTGCCGTTTCTTTTTCCTTTCCTTTCCTTTCCTTCTTTCCTTTCCTTTCCTTTCCTTTCCTTTCCTTTCCTTTCCTTTCCTTTCCTTTCCTTTCTTCCTTTCCTTTCCTTTCTTCCTTTCCTTTCCTTTCCTTTCCTTTCCTTTCCTTTCCTTTCCTTTCCTTTCCT